TTAAATTAGAACCAAGATTTTAATCTGATCCTAAAGTCCTTAAAAATCTAACAGATGTGCAAAGCACAGATACAAACAAAATAAAATGGATTTACAAAAGAGGAAACTACATACTGATATTCAGGAGAAGGAAAGTTCCCCCATACACTATTGATTACAATGCAAGAAGAACAATGTCCATTTTACCCTGTGTGGCTTCCAACTCCTCAAATGTCTTTTTTGTAATAACGACCTTACTTTGCAGGACAAAACACAAAACAGAAATACTACATTCTCATCATCAACCTGTAAAGAATAATAAATATCTTTTTACATGTTTGCCCAAATTAACATGTTTAATACTCCTTGTTCCTATTTCCATCTCTTACCAAAAACTTCCCTTAAGAAAGATTTAGTATTATCAGCCTGGTTTATGAGTCGAGAAACTAAATCACAGTCATCAATATCTCATAAGCAATGGTCTGCCCAGACAAGCAAAATTATACTTCATCACTCATTCTGTACTGCCCAAAGATGTATAGATGGTCCAGCTCTTCACTGGATCTAAGTTCACCTACACAACCCTGTGTAAATTTTTTCAAAGGCATATAAACCTCTAACATGGGTATCTTCATAATGGGTGCATGCAGTTGGTTTTGTTCTCAGAAGGAAAACCAATATATTTGCAATCATGAATTTACATTCATTTTTATTTCTGAGATGGTAAAAGAGTTCCTTAAAATTATATAGATAAAGGGCCACAATCCAAAAAAAAAGGCACGCAAGAGATAATATATAATGACCTGTAGTGTATTACAGATGAGGGGAAAAAACAGCTCACACTGCACACACACATGTACACACATATACACACATGTACACACATATGCACACATGGAGAGAGTTCAAACCTAAAATAAATGTTTACGGAAGCAGTGTGATGTGGTCTAAAGAGAAAGTCCTTTAGAGTCATCTGTGCTTAAATTCTGTCTCCTGCCCAAGCTCTATGCTTAAGGTTCATTTTCCATAAAATGGAAATAGTCATAATCACATCATAGGACTGCCATGAAGATTAATTAAGACAGAATATACAATAAGGCTTAGCCCAGTGCCTGTTGCATAGAAGACAATAAACATCAGCTACCTTCTTCTTCCCCTCCCTTATGTGTTTCTGAAGGCTTTTTTTTTTAGTTTTACTGACTTAAACGGGAATTCTTACAGCAGTTTTTAAAAAAAAGTTCCTACATATTATATAGTCATTTACACATATGTATCTGTTGCAGCACCGTAATTTGCAAAGAAAATAGAAGTAGTAATTTTAAAAGAAAAGTACCAGCTCACTTGCACTGCCTTTTCAAACCTTCAGCTCTACAGTCAACAGAGACTATTTGCTCTAGGGGTGCAGATTCTGAAATAAAGCAAAAAATTCTCATGGGAAAAAAGGTTCTCAAAAAAAGCCAACAAAGGAAAGATAATGAGGGGAAATCTAGGAGTATAGAAAGGAGTTTATTTTACTTAACAAAGTAGAAGTCAAGCAAAATGAATTATCTGCCTCCAGAAATGGTTATTTAAAGGCTTTTTGTAAAGGGCTCTGGTTCCTAAAAAGACAGGAGTCACTGCATATGCCCACCCACTCCTCATTTATTTTTAAACCCTAGCTTATATGTTCCTTAGCAACAGAAGGAGCAGATGAGACCCCCCTACACACGCACACACACACACACCCTCTCCCAAAGCCCCCTTCTTTTTGCCTGTTAAGTTTCTTTCCAAAAATATCCATGTTCTTCAAAAGATATTTTTTGCCTACCTGCAAATCTCCACTCCTCCATCTCAAATGATCCCCCTTACACAGGCAGCTATGCTCCATATCCTAACTGAGCCCTTTCACTTAGACTCCATTCTTTGAGGCCTTCCTGCCTCCCCTCTATAAGCTCCCACCAGGCCCTGTCCTCAGATGCCCCCAGAAGGGAAGTGGTGTGGTCCTCACAGAGGAGCCAACCCTCAGCTGCTGCCAAAGCTGCTTTTCTTTTTGCAGACCCTTCACCCATCCCACAGTAAAACAGCCAGCCCAGCTGCAGGAGTCCAGCACGAATAGCCACCATGGCGAGTGGGCAGGCCACTCATCATGACTCCAAAACAAGTTAGTAACAGTGACCAAAATGGAGATACTTTCCTGTTACCCAAGGACAAACATGCTCCAGATGGGAGCACCTCTTTTTTCTCCATCTTTCCTCTGACTTTGAGACTACCTGGCCTGGTTTGGCTGGGCAGCATTTATAAGTTCAAAGACCAGTTGTTTAGTCTTGTGGGGGTGGAATTAGGGTGGCAATCCCCAGATATTAGTGTGCATAAACATATCACCTGAGGAGCCTGTTAAAACTTCCCACCCACAGACAGTTTGATTCTGTAAGTCTGGGGTGGTGAGCACTTTTAACCAGCCACCTGAGGTGACACTGATGCAGGTAGTTCATTGAATTGGAGACTATGAAGCTTTATGTAAAAGGAAATGATGTTTATGAAGTAGAATCCACCTCCATGGATGGAGTGTAAAATAGACGCAATGTTGTTATTATTCTATAGAAACATGCTGAGTCTGTGTCCATGTCAGTGTTTGTGTAGGTACACACTTACACTTGCATGTGTGAGCATGCACTCAGAAAGCCACAACCCCACACAATATACATTTTGAGGAAGGAGGCTTAGAGACTGACCCCTGCCAAGAGGCAAGCTGAAATAATTTCCCTTGCAAACTCTGGCTTTGTATTCCTACCCAATGAGGACTCTGATGAATACCAATGAGCCAGGAGCAGCCCACACTGTGCTTCACGTAATCACCACCCCCTTCCAACTCACAGCTCCTAAATTAGGTTGAATGTAGTCCCTGTTCCCCCAAGGGCCCGACAGGCCATCATAACTAGGAAGTAGAACTGCCTGTGTCCTAGCATACCTCCCCAGAGCTACCCCCTTCCCCATCATCTGACTATTTTTAGAAACGAAAGTATAAAAAGAAAGATCCGTTTGGACCTGATCTGTGCGAGTAACTAAGAGAACAACTCAGGTGGAGAATTCTCCCAGCACACCTACAACAAAATGCATACAAGGAGCGCAGAAGCAACAACCTCACCAGGAAGGTGTTTCAGGAGTCATCAGATGTCAACACTCAGACAAAGCACATGCCCTAGTGACTGTGGCCTCCAGGCCAGGCGATGCCTGTGGGGATCCCAATGATTCACACACCTGCCCCATAAATAAAACACACCCTCCCAAACCCACACACACCTGTGTCATCTGCGTTTGCTTACATAACACCACATGGTGTGACAGGCTTAATACTTTACATGGTTTTGGGGAAAGAAGCACTAACTCAGAAAGAGTAGGGTTATAAGAATGTTTTCACTGACCCCTTTTCCAGAAACCCTCTTAGCTCCAGCAAATGCACATCTTTGTAAACCTGTGCTTGCATATTACCTTGACCTTTCACATCAACAAGCAGCAGTGTTAGTGTGACAACTCTTCAAACCTGTCAATATCTTTGTTCTTACCTGAGGAAGGTGGGGGGCGAGAGAGGCCCTAATAAATCCTAATTTCTCCTTGTTGGATTCTAAAACAATGTGGGGTTATCGTTTATCCTAATTTAGAGGCCACTGATCCCACACTGTCCTTGTCTTACACACACAATCATCCTTAGGTGCAAATATGGTCCCCACTCTCACCTTTACCCCTAGCTTGCCAGCAGGCTCCCCTCACCCTCCTCCAGCCAGGAGAGAGGCAAGGACCACGCAGGCATGGAACCCCCCCATAGCCAGTGGTGAATCTACAGACATAAACCCACTCTTTCTTCGTGGGGGATTTCGAGGCAGGTCCAACTTCCATAAGGATTTCTCCTCAGTATAGTGCTGTTCTTTTCTGCCTGTCAGAGTGATCTCAGCTACCAAGTTAGTGCCAAAGGTTCATCCAGCGAAATCTGGAGGGTGTGTGTGGGGAGGTTGAAGACGACACCTGCTTAGGGGCAACTTTGACGACTTCTTTTCAGAAAACTAAGCATCTCTGAGTCTGTAACCTCTCTCTCTCTCTCTCTCTCTCTCTCACACACACACACACACACACACACACACACACACAGTTTCTGTTATTCTGACCTTAGGGACCCAATGGTTCTCTCCTGCCACGGGGGAAAGCAGGCATTGCTTCCCTTCAGCCTGTAATGATAGGATGGGGAGAGGACAGACATCCCCGGGAGAAGAAGGGGAAAGGGAGAAGGAGAGGCATGGAAACAGAGAGGTGCCCAACTCCGCGGAAGCGCCCCTTGCTGGGGGAAGAGTGGGTCTCCAGCCGAGGCGCACCTGTCTCGGCTGCCGGCTCCCCGCGCCTACCTGTACGAGACCTGCTTCCGGAAAGTTAAGTTCCTCAGCTTCTCCTCCAGCGCCTCGTCCTTCTCCTTCTGGCCGGCGGCCGCAGACTCTTCCAGGGCAGCGGCCCCTGCCGCCGCGGCTGCCCCTGCGCCCCGCGGGTCCGCGCCGCCCTCGGCGCCCAGGCAGCAGCTCCCGGCGCCGCTTCCGCTACTGCTGCTGCCGCCCGTCGCCCCCTTCTCCTCTCCCGCCGAGGAGCTGGGGTTCATGGCGCCCGCTCCGGCGGCTGCGGAGGGAGCGCAGGCGGCGTCGCTGCAAAGGCCGGGCGGGCTGGCGGCGCTGGCGGCGGCGGCTGCAGGAGCGCGGGCAGGTCCGCACGCCGCTGGCAGGGGCAGCAAATGGCAGCCCCTTCCCGCAGCATCCATCCGCGGCTGCACCGCACCGGGGCATTGTGGGAAACTCCGCTCACTCCCCCGCCCCGGCCAATCAGAGGCCGCCGCTCCCCGCCTCCCGCGCCCTCCCGCGCCCTCCCGCGCCGGCCCGCGCCCTCCAGCCCCGCTGGCCTCTTCCTACATCCCGAGCGAAAGCCCGGGCTGAACCTGAACTCTGCCCAGAGGCGACGGGCTGCAGTGGAGGGGGAGAGAGAGGAGAGGCTACGCCCCCGGGCTGGGGATGCCAGGGCAGGGACGGCTAGCATCAGAAAGGAGTGCGTCCGGGGAACTCCGAGGGGAGCGGCCGCGCCCTGGGTCCTGCACCGCGAGGCTGGGACCAGGACCGCCTGGTGCCCACCTGGGTCCTGAGCCCGGCTGCTCTCTCCACCCTCTCCACTCCCCAGCAGAGCTGGGGCCCGCAGCAGCCCCTGGGCGCGGGAAGGTATCGGGAGCTGCATTTAGGGGAGAGGGAGGTAGCAGGAGTGCCGCCGGTGGGAACGTTGGAACGAATTCGTCGGCGAGTGCCAAGTCCAAGCGCCGACCTCCAGTCTCGGAGCCGGGGCCCCAGCATCCCCGAAATGCGTCCCCACCCGGCTCCTCGCCCGGTGCCTTCCTTAGGCGCAGAAGACTCTCTCTAACCAGCAGTTAATTCGATTGAATCGGATCGCAGCGCCCTCGGTGAAGCAGAAAGGCGGAGGGAATCCAGGAGGCAGAAGCGAGGACCCGAGCGCCTGGCGCCGCTGTGGTGTTCGGATAAGCAAATGAGGCGGAAGGGGCTTCAAACCACTTGGGACCCCACTGCTGAAACGAATCCAAGCTGCAGAATTTAACTGTCCACCTCAACCCCAGTTTTTGTTTCTAACATTATCGAACACTCTGTGCTGTTTGAGTGATGTGCTACAAAGTGTTTAAGACAGATTGTTTCTCAAATTAGGGGTTTCCACCCAAGAAATCGCTGCTGTTGGCAAACACAGGAACGATCTATGGGTTAAGACAAGGTGGAGTTCGTAACCCAACTACAAACCTACATGTACTTGGTGGGAAGAGAATCAGACCAGTGAACAGTTTCAGGTTGGCGTGGTGTGCCCGCGAACAAAGAATTTAAGACTGGCAACAATCTAAATTGCTTGCTTTCCCTTTATTTCCTCATCACTAAAATTAGGAAAATGAACAGAGATACATCAAGTCTTTTCTAACACCCATATTCTGTAATCCTCCTCATATTTACCTTATAATAAGACAAAGATAAATGCATTTTCGTAGTGTAGGGAGGAAAAGTAATAATAAAAATTAAAACTGCTAGCAGTTATGACTCCCTCCTTTTTATATAGTAAGTGCTGTGGAAGCACTTCCCCCATCCATCTCTACGTTTCCACAGCACCTCTCAAGGGCTTGGACGCGTGCAAGTACAAACTGGCAAAGCCAGGAGCCAAGCCAGGCTGTTCAGTGGTCTTTGTGCTTCACCCCGATTTAGTGCACCCCGTCTTCAGAAGGGACAGTTGTGAATTAGGTGCTTCAACAGCAAGATCCATGAATATCTAGCACTTCCCTTAAATCAAGCAAATGTCATCTGAACCCAATACTGGAACAGCCCCCTCACTACTCCCACTTACCTTCAGCTGTATCTTCCCCAATCCAGTCTGAAGCGTGAGCTCCAAGGTGCTTCTGCTTTCTCATGCCTCCACTTAAAAACTTCCGATTATGTCACATTGCCATTAGGGTAAAGTTCAAACAACTCCTTGACTGATTTTGAGGGCTACAGTGGTGGGGCACTGCCCACTGTCCCTTCATACTGTCATGACAGTGAGGTTCTGAACTGTTCTGTGTGCAAACCCCACATGCTCTCTGGTCTCTCCATTCCCATCTTTGCACGTGTGACTCTGCTGTCTCCTCTTCTTTGCTTCTTCTATTTCTAAGATTTGCCAAGCCAACTACTACACCTCTATCAGATTTTAGTTTACATGTCTCTCCTCATGTTTCTCCCCACTAGAAGCCTCAGTTGATCATCCCTTTCTAGACTGTGATGGGCATACCTTCCACAGCTCCCATTGCACCACTGTACTAAACTTGGACCACTACAACTGTCATGTGTCTATTTCTCCCACATGTATATAAAGGCTATATGTTGTTTACCCCTGTATCCTCAGAAATAATAAGCAGGTAACATAATAGCCTAACTGTGCATATCATAGGTCATCATTAAGTGTTTATTGACTGAGAAAAGAAACATACATAGTTATGAACATAATAAAAATGTCATTTTTTTCAGAACAAACAGTTTGATAATAGATGGTATTGGTGAGGGGGGTATGAAAACAATCCTTTCTCAAATTGTTGATGTACTTTAGTAAAATCTCTCTGATGGTAAATTTTACAATATCTATCCATTTTTGAAATGTATAACTTAATAAACCAAGAAATTTTACTTCTAAAAATTCATCCTCTGATATACTTATAGGTATACACAAGGAATTTAACAGTGAAAACAACCTAAATTGTTATTCATCCAAACAATGGAAGTCTCTGGAGCTGTCAAGATAAATAAGGCAAGTTAATATTCATTAGTATAAAACAATCTTAAATATGTAACATCAACAAAAAAATATTACTCAGAGTATTTAGTAGTATGCTGTCATTTATGGAGAAAAGAAGATCTATACCGATATAATATAATATTTCTGGAAAGATACGTAAGAAAATGGTCACAGTGAAGTGGAGTTGAATGGCCCTAGTAGAATCGTGAGGTTTTGCCCAATTCAATAAATACATACCAACAGAGGACAGAATGTCTCCCAGGCTATCAGAAAAGCCAGCTGGACCTGTCAGGTGTGTATTTTATGTTTCAATAGTGTATTAATGTGTTTTTAAACAGAGGAATATAGGACTTAAAAAGAAACAGTCATGGAACATTAACTTAAGACAGAGAGACAACTGAGAAGCACAAATAATTCCAGCAAAAAACAAATTAATTTTGTTGTGGGGTGGCCTCCTGAGAAGTCACTTAAAATATTAATCATTCTCTTAGACAATTTATTTTCCTTTCTATTTTTCAATGATTGCCAAGTAACCTTATAATTACTCATCCTCCTTCTTAGTTTCCTTGACACTAAAAAGTGGAATCCTTGAAAATGGGTCAGAAGCATTCTAATCACAAAAAGAAATTGACATTCTGCTTTGAAACTGCATTGCATGTGATTTTGAGTAACATAAGTACATAACCAAGAAAATGAGCATCTTTGGGCATATTGAAACATCCAGTGCCTGGACCTGAAAGTCTAATCTCAGTCCTCAGATGGGCAATAGTACCATCACTGGACCCAGGGTAATGCCCCATTTGGTGGGCTTCTTAACTCACCTTTCTTTTATTAATTACTGTTCAACCTAAAACAGGTATCATCCTAGGTTTAAATACCAAACTTGAGTCTCATAAATGCTAGACTTGATAAAAGGGCTTCAATGTGAAGATTAAAAGAAAGAAGAAAAATTTTGAAATCTAGATAAGACTGTAAGGCCAGATAATGAGAACATTACATCTAACATTTTTAAATGTATGTGGTGTTCAGGAATTTCAGGAATTTTCCAGAAATAACACAGAATTGTGTTTTTTAAAAAGCAAGTGACACATTTAAATATGCATATGCACACATTGAAGACCTCTGTTATGCATAAAACCAGTGAAAGATAATAGAGCTTTTGGAAATGTTGTTGCTGAGGAAAAAAAGAAAAAGAAATTTCCAGAATTAAGCTTCTGTGTATCATGTTGTGCAGAAATGATAACAGAGCTCCCTTGTCAAAGCCTACAAGGCCATACTTGGTCTCTCCTGTGCCTCCTCCATCCCTGCAGTCCATCACTTTTTCACTCAGCTCTCCTAACATCCCATTTCTCACACATGCGGTATTAGTCCATTTTCACACTGCTATAAAGAACTGCCTGATGCAGAGTAATTTATAAAGGAAAGAGGCTTAACTGACCCATAATTTTGCCTGGCTGAGGAGGCCTTAGGAAACATACAATCATGGTGGACAGTGAAGGGAAAACAAGGACCTTTTTCACATGGCTATAGGAGAGAAAAAGCAAAGAGTGAAAGGGGAAGAGCCCCTTATAAAACCATTGGATCTCATGAGAACTCATTCACTATCATGAGAACAGCATGGGGAACCACCCCCATGATCCAATCACTTCCCACCAGGTCCCTCCCTTGACATATGGGGATTACAGTTCAAGACGAGATTTGGGTGGGGACACGGAGCCAAACCATATCACATGCGAAGCTTATTCCTGCCTACCCATAAAGCTCTACCTAAGAGGTTCCCAAACTTTCTCAGTTCACACCACCCTTACTGAAAGTCTCAGAAATTATTTTTCCTGGCACTTCCAGGCTGAGATTTATGAAAACAAACCTAACACTTATGTTTATTAGATATTTAGGTGCTAACAATTCAATAAACATTTACTTCTTGACAACATTAGTAGCTATTTGAAAAAAAAAAAACAGAAATTGAAAGAAAAAATGTTTGTATTTTATTTGTAAGCAGCCACAATCACTTACTAATGAGTAATAATAATGAGCATGACACAGCTTCTCAAATCTTAGGATCATATTGGACACTACCACCTTCATTTCCTGTTCCATACTGATTTTCAGGCGGTATTGCTCTTTAATACTGCATTAAGTTGCAACTACCAAAACCCAGCTTTGCAAGCATAATGATATCACCGAAAGAATGTAGTATAATCTAATGTTGAAACTATCTACTACATTGAGCCAGTAGTATGCATGGTGTCTAACAAATGTCAAGTATCTCTGAGTTTCCCTCAAAATTTTAATATATCCTGCAGTGCCCCTGTGAATGTACTACAGAAACCTGAGCACCATCATGAACCTGAACACAGTTCCTGAACTGTGGCTCTACTTCATATTTTTGCATTGTGTTTGTTTTTGCCCGAGTTCCTTAGAAAACAGATCCTGAGGCAAAGCTTACAAGCTAAGGCTTTATGTGAAGTTGTAATCCCAGGACTCAAGAATGAAGGGAAAAGAGAATCAAGACTGAAAAGGAGGGGAAAAGTAAATTCAAGGTGGTGAGTTATGAATGACTACAGCATCAGAAAACAACATACCTGCTCTCTTGGTCACCAGAACTTCTTCCAGACAGGACCCAAGGCATTACACCTAGAAACATTTTGACACAGGAGAGAGTGTATATTCTCTGCTAGTCTTCCTGTCTCCTGTTGAAAGTGGTTGAAATTTGTCCCTTAAAGAACTAATTAATTCACCCTCACCTCTTGGTTGTGTTGCTGGCTGTTTATGGCAACTGCAAGGGAACCCAAATCCCCTAGTGATTGGAGGTTCCTCCAAACCTCTAAGGATACAGACTGATTGCACCTGAGCACCAACCTATTGAGTCTCCTTCTAATGCAATCTCAGTGGAATCCAGTCATTGGGGGAGGCTGAGGTCACTGGCACAGATGGAATATGAGAGTGGCAATGGCAATGATTTGGCTTGAGTTCTCCATTGAGCAAGCAAAGACACAAGGGTATGAGAGAATAGATGGAGCCCAGCCATTTATCATTCAGATCTTACTTCTCATGTTATCTCATCAGAGAAGCCTCTTGCTCCCTAAACTGCCCTTCTCAGCTATTGGCTGACATATAACTATGTCTGTGTTAAAATGTGCCTGTGTTAAACCTAGAGTTAACGATTGTCTGACTTAGATCATGCCATAAAAAACATGAAGCTGCAGTAGGAGCTTGCCGAATTAGTATGGAGGAAAATATTTTAAGTTGTATGGATAAGAATTGATTTCAACAAGCAGTCTCTAAGCTAGACTTCACTAAACATAGAAGCCTAATATATGGTTAGGAGGGAGGTTTTTAGATCACCCAGTCCAGACCCCACTCATGCATGGTGCTCCCACAGCATCTCTTCATGTGATTATTTTTAGGCTTGAACAACTGAAGTTATAGAAGAGTCACTAATTTCTAAGACAACCTAGTAATTTTAAACAGGCTCTGTCATAAAGGGCTTTCTATTTTTTAAATCATTATTTCTCATTCAAATTGCTGGTGTACCAAACACAGACACACACACACACACACACACACACACACACACATAATTTACAATGATTCTGTACTTGAGCAGCTGGTGTGCAGGGGGCAAATGGAGGAATTAGCTTGCATTTCCACTCAATTTCCTCTTGCTGTGTTCTGACCCTCACTCTCTCATTGCATTCACTGTTTTTCTTGGGTTACTTATCAAGAGCAGGCCTGATCTGCAACGAACTTAATGAAGTCACCAATAAATCTCCGAAGAGAGTAGAGTTGGTATCAGAATGTGCAACGCACTCCTAGAAACTTCAATTCATTCTAACAGTCATTTGTTTAATAGGCTGTTGGTAAATGTCTACTTGTAATTGCAATATACTGTTCTAGGTACTAGGAATTCAGTGAGCAAAAACTAAAGACCCTGCTCTTTTGGTGCTGAACATTCCAATGTTTCTGTATAGCTACTAAAATTCATATTAAAACATTCAGCTGGACTCTCAATGAATCTGCATTCCTGTATTTGTGTACAAAGTTTGGTTGGCAGACTATGCCTAATATTCTTTTTATTGCATTTCACTAAGGTATCAGGCAAGAATGCTATCAAGGAAAATGATGCTAATCTAATATGACTTTTTGATTAATCCATTTAGATTTGCAGGGAACATATATTTACTGTTTCAACATATTACAAACACTTTTGGAGCCTCTACTACTATATGAACATTCTGTTAGTGCTAAGGATTCAAAGATGGGTACAGTGAGATAACTTCCCTGAAAGGGTTTACCATTTAATTGTAATAAATGAAAACCATTTCCTTTCTTCTTCACTTCTTTTTACGTAGAGTAATAGAAGTCAAGTGGCAAATGCCATGACCTTTTAACTTAGAAGCCATTCACATTCCCTTTCTTCACCTTCGTAGAATATAGAGATGTACAAGATGAAATACTTTATTTTCCACTGCTCTAAAGTGAAATGTGACTATGTGACCTGGTTCTGAACAAGAAGATCAAAGCCAAAATAATCAAATGGGGCTTCTTCTGGAGATGTGTTTTATTAGTACAGAAAGATAATATGCCCCCCTCAGTCCTTTGCCCTTTTCCTTCTTCATGCTTACAGAGGCAGCTC